TTTTCTTAGTTATCTCCAGCACACAAACACTAAACATGTTATCAGAGCCCTGATGAATTCCAACAAAAACTGAACATTTCCTTCCCAAACAACTCATCCACCCACCGGAAAACTGCCTTGCACCAGACCTATTTTTTTCTTGATCAAATGACTACCCAACAGCTTCTCTTCTACCTCCTGTGTCAACGTTGAACACTACCATATTTGGTCAGTTAAAATGAAGGCTTACCTGAGAGGTCAAGGACTCTGGCAGTATGTAGAGGAAGACAGAACCCCCCTCAGTTGGGACCAATCCTACCCTCAATCAAATCCGAATGCATGAAGAGGAAGCATCAAGAGCTCCAAGAGCCTTGTCCCACATCCACTCAGCTGTCACAGACCTTGTTTTTACAAGGATTATGACATGCGAAACTGCTAAGAATCATGGGACAAGCTAGAGAAGAATTCATGGGAAGTGAAACCACAAGAACATGCAGATTTTGATTTGAGAAGGGAGTTTGAAACTTTAAGGATGCAAGAGGCTGAGAAGGTGAAAGAATATGTTGATAGGTTAATGAACATTGTCAACAAAATCAACTCCTTGGAGTGCAGATGCCAGACAGCAGGATTGTGGAAAAGGTGATGGTGAGCCTACCGGAAAGGTTTGAAGCTAAGATCTCATCCTTGGAGGACTCAAAGGACCTGACTCAGATCCAATGACTGAGCTGGTCCATGCTCTACAGGCACAAGAGCAAAGAAGGCTCCTAAGTCTTGAAGATGCAAATGAAGGAGCAATGCTGGCAACCTACAAAGGCAAACCTGTGCAAGGAAATTATAAGAAATCTGCTGAGAAAAGAGAGGAAGAAAGGTCCAACAACCAATGGAACAAAGCTGGTGGGATGCAAAGTTTTCCAGCTTGCTCTCATTGCAAAAAGAAGGGACCAGAGCACAAATGCTGGTTCAACCTGGTATACAGTGTAGGGCCTGCAAACAGTTTGGGCATATTGAAAGATATGCAGAAACAAGGGACACAGTCCCAACAGCAAGCTCAAACAGCTGATGAACAACAGCCGGTGCAAGAGACAGAGCAGCTGTTTATGGCCTCATCCAGTGTGATCCAAACTTGTGATGATACATGGCTAATTGACAGGGTGCACACTCATATGACACCTGATTTGAGTAGCTTTGTAAACTAGATCACACTCATCGATCAAAGATCAAGGTTGGAAATGGTGAGTGTGTGAAGCAAGGCAAGGGAATGTTGCAATCCAAACTCCAAAAGGTACAAAGCTAATCTCAAATGTACTTTATGCACCTAATATAAATCAAGTCTTTTGAGTGTGGGCAAATGTTAGAAAGGAATTATGCACTGCATTTTCAAAACAATCCTGCATTATTCAAGATAGTGAGGGTAATGAGGTTTTAAGAGTAAAAATGATTGGGAAAAGCTTTCCAATAATGTGGAAAGCTACACCACACATAGCATGCAATGTCAGGGAGGATGACAAATGTGGCACAAGACTAGGCCATGTACACTATAGAAACTTGACTGAAATGCAGTCCAAAATCTGGTACATTCTGCCTATTGTTGAGCGCCAGGGGTGTGTGCCAAGTGTTCAACTAGGCAAATGAGTAGGAAACCATTCCCAGTGAACCAGCTTGGAGAGCCTCTGAAAAACTTCAGCTTGTTCACCCTTCGATGTATGTGGACCTATGCAAACCTTATCACTTAATGGGAGCAAATACTTTGTATTGTTCATAAGATGATTGGTCTAGGATGGGGTGGATTTACTTCCTAAAACAGAAAAGTGAGGTAGCTGAACATTCAGGAAATTCAAACTTGAAGTAGAGAATTTGACTGAAAAATCAATCAAAATCTTGAGAAGTGATAATGGCACTGATACACCTCTCAAGAGTTTAAAAAAATCTGCACTGAAGCTGGAATAAGGCATGAATACAGCAGCCCATACCCTCCACAACAGAATGGAGTTTGTGAAGGAAAAACAGGACAATCATGGAAATGGCAAGGTGCTTAATGGCTGAGAAAAATCTTCCCAACCATTTTGGGCAGAGCAGCAAACACAAGTGTCTACCTACTAAATAGAATTCCCACCAAGCCTTAAAAACCAACACCTTTTGAAGCCTGGACTGGAACCAAACCAATAGTGGATGAACTGAGATTTTTGGAAGTCTTTGCTATGTCCTAGTGCCACCGCTAAGAGGACTAAGCTGGAGGATAGGCTGTGACAGGAATTTTATTGGCTACAGCACCAATCCAAGGCCTACAGACTTTACATTCCTGACTCCAGAAAAGTTGTAGTGTCCAGGATGTTAAGTTGATGAAAGAGGAGTCTGGAACTGGGAAAGGTAGAGCTGCTGTAGATGCTCAACCTCAACTAAGTGAGTTCAACCTGAACAAATTGAAGAAGACTCAGGGGAGGAATCCGAAGAAGAAGTGGCTGTCAGGGGAACCAGAACACTTGCTGATGTGTATGACAGGTGCAACCTAGCTCAATGGAACCTTCAAGTTACTTGAGGCTGCACAATCAGAATCCTGAGGAGTGCCATGAAGGAGGAGTTAGCCATGATTGAAAAAACACCAACCTGGAAGCTGTGGATAGACCAGAAAACAGAAAAGTTATCCAAGTGAAGTGGATTTTCAGAAAAAAGCTGAATCCAGATGTCAGTTCTGAAGCATAGGCCAGACTTGTGGTTAAGGGATTGCACAGCATATGGAGTGGACTTCCTGGAGACATTTGCTCCTGTTGCACGTCATGACACCATTAGGCTGCTGCTTGCAGTGGCTGCCCAATTCTCCTGGAAAGTTCACCAATTGGATGTAAAATCGCCTTCTTGAATGGCTGGTTGAATGAGGTGATATACATCGAACAACCTGAAGGATATGTGATCCAAGGACAAGAGGGAAGTTGTATATTTGAGGAAGGCCTTGTATGGCCCTAAAACAGGCTCCAAGGGCCTGTACAGCAGGATTAATGACTACCTGCTGAATCTGATTTTGTTAGGAGTCCAAATGAATACACCCTTTACATCAGAGAAGCTGAAGATGACTTGATGATTATTTCTCTATATTGGATGATCTTCTAGTTATTGGAAGCAATCAAACTCAAGTGGATGAATTCAAGAAATCCATGCAAAGTGAGTTTGAAATGACTGATTTGGGTGAAATGTCCTATTTCCTTGAATGGAGATTGATCAACATGTTTGATGGGATCTTTGTGAATCAAAGAAGATATGCAATGAAGTGTTGAAGAAATTCTGTATGGAAACTGCAAACCAGTAATCTGCCATTATTCCAAATTTGAAGTTGTCAAAGAATGAAGATGTGAGAAAGTTGATGAAGGTCTGTATAGAGTTTAATAGGGTGTTTGCTGTATTTGACAGCAACTAGACCAGATTTAATGTATGCAACTAGTCTGCTGTCCAGATTCATGAGTAATCCAACTGAAACTCACTTCAAAACAGCAAAAAGGGTGCTGAGGTATGTCAGAGGAAGCACTGACCTATGGAGTATGGTTCAAGAGATCAGAGGACTTTGGTTTAACTGGTTATTCGGACAGTGATTGGGCTGGTTCAACAGATGATTGAGGAGCACTTCAGGTTTTGCATCTTCCTGAATCATGGTGCCATTTTGCGGCTTTCTAGAAACAGGAAACTGTGGCTCAATCCACAGCTGAAGCAGAGTACATATCAGCTGCTGCAGCCGTAATCAAGCTATTTGGTTAAGGAAAATTCTTGATGACTTTGAAGCTGAAACAGAACAAGGCTACTGCTATCATGTGTGACAACCAATCTGCAGTAGCTATGGCCAAAAATCCTGTGCAGCATGGACGAACAAAACACTAAAGATTAAGTTCCATGCCGTGAGAAAGCTGAGCAAAATGGTGAAGTAAATCTATGCATTGCAAGAGTGAACATCAAGTGGCTGACATCATGACCAAGCTGTCTCCAAAGCAAATTTTGAAGAATTCAGATTCAGACTTGGTGTTTCCAGCCAACCATCAGAGGAGTGTTGAGTTGATACTTGGCTGGAAATGCAGCAGTTCAACTGATTTCAAACATGTTTTTGGCGGTAAACTGAAAGCAATCTGCAGGGGTCCATTTTGTAATACTGCAAAGTTTTACTCTTTTTGTAATGCTTGATATGTATCCCAGATTATGTGGGATGTGTTACGATTTGTTGTTAGTTGGTATTAAGTCAGTAGCTTCAGATTAATTAAGTTTTTATATGTCTGCATGTTTGGTGTAATAGTGTAAAAAATCTGCTTTATTAGTTGACGTGTAACTCTTTGAACTTAAGAAAAATAGGCACTTTTCTTCAATATCGTTTTTGCTCTCTTTCTTTTCTTAGTTATCTCCAGCACACAACACTAAACATTCTATAACAAAATAACTCTTCCAAAGATGGAATTTCAAAGTATAATTCCCAGAGCAAAAACTTGTAAGACTTTCTAAATCAAAAAGTGTTGCTCTCAATCTGCAAAAGCTAATCTGGGGTCTGTTACATTGCCCTCATTTGCTACTACTTCTGTCATCATTTCACATCCACCAATCTTCAATTCTTTGAGTTGCAGCAGGTTTTGGCTGTTGGGATGCTACTAAGTTCTTCAATCTTTTGCAAAACCACACTTCCAAAATGTTAGATTGTGGAAAGATGCAGAGGATGGCACTAAATTAATCAAATTGTGCACCACCACACATCAAGACTTTCAAGTTTTGAAGAATGGTGCCCAGTTTTGATTTTGTTTCCATATGTATTTAGATTAGACAGATAAACCTTCAAAACTTTAATTCTGTGTCAACATCCTGCATGTCTTTCCATCTCTTCATGTGAGAATATCTCTTTGCATGAACCGTGACTTAGAATGAGCTTTTCCAGATTGTGAAATCTTTGAAAGAAAACAACAAATCTGAATCATCTTTCACAATGTGAAGAACTTCAAGTCTGCGAAGAGGTTTCTGGAAATGCGCTGCCATATATTTCAACGACTTCTTGCCTAATTTCAGTCCTCCAAATTAGGGAAGACCTGGTACCAATAAACAAGTAATTGAGTTAATCTTCTCTGAAAATTCTATAATTTAGGAATAAAAATGATTTCAAGCTGTCATAATTAACAATAATGATACTTATAGACTATAAAATGACTAATCTTGACTTAATGAAATTATAGTTTTAGCTGATTTAACTTTGGCAATTAAAAGATAAATCATTTATTAAAAGAAATGGAATTTTCAACCTTATATCTGTATACAGTTTAAAGGACCAAAAGAAAAAAAGGTCTCATACCTTTTCCACCAAGAGAGGGCCTGTTCCGCTGTACATTAAGTTGATACTCTTCAGTTTCCTGGTGGCTAACAATTTTGATGTGAATATCTTCACATTGTCGCAATCACATACCTCCAACTTTTTTAAAACCAGCCATTCTGAAGTATGTGTTTCAGGATAGAAGCATCTAAGTCGTTGAAGCAATGACAATTTGAGGAAGGTTACATGTGGAAAGACAAACCTAACAGCTGCGTTGGCTCTGTCTTCCTTTGAAACAATCTCCTCCACTCCACAATTTACCATCTCAAGCTCTTTAAGTTCAAAAAGGTTCCTAGCAATGGAGGCTGGAAATAGATTTTCTAGATTCTTACATCCAGAAACTCTCACTATCTGTAGCTTTGGAAAGGACAGCATTACTTGGGGTTCCTTTTTCCATACATGTGTCACTTTTGGTAGACCATGGATACACAATTCTTTTAACTGAGCTTTAGAATGTTTTTCCCCAAAATTTAGCCTCTGGAGATCAAATATCTCCATTAATGAACCACAAGCAGTAACAGTTAGTGATTCCAATTGCCAGAACCTTTCACACATATTGGAAGGAAAAATAGTCAATAGCTTATCACAGTTCTTGATTTCCATTAATTTTAGTTTTTGAAGAGATTGCTGAGGGAGTTGGTTGTTCCATATCATCTTCAGGTTATCCATGCCAGATATTACCATTTCTTCTAAGCTTGGTAATGCAACCTGTAGGATTCATGCCATTGAGTAACTGTAAGATTATTTCTAATTCTTTTTAGAAGTAATTGAAAAACTTTTATCTGGATAAACTAAGATCTAGAAGATGATAAGACTAGTACAATGAGAATTTAGGATGGCAGAAACAATATAAACAGTTAAATGTATTCTACCTTTTCATTGAAGAAAGGTTGAATACCCTCTGACTCGGTGCTTATGTTTGTCAAGATGACTGCCTTGAATTGAGGGCATTGTTCTATCTCCAAATGTTTCAAGGATGGAAATTCAATGTAATTTCCTAAGCAAAATCTTGTAAGATTTTCAAGATCTTTTATTACCATGCATTCTAAACGAGGGAAGATTTTGCCCTTGCTTTCTTCTTCCATGATAATGACCTCTACCAAAACTGCACAATGGCATATCTCAAGATGTTGGAGGTTCACCAAGATTTTTAATATAGAAGATGAAAAGATATATTTTAATCGACCACATCCCCGCAAGGTAATATATGTTAAATTTTGAACGGAGGAAAAAATATGTGATGGAAGTCGCTCGCACCAAATCTTTGGAATATTAATTTCAACCAGTTCCAAGACCTCCAACCTGGGAAAACTCACCTGCATAAAGTTGTGTTTCAATATTCTTTCGTATAGATCGAAAAAATAATAACTTTTTATTTCGAACATGTATGATATCCCCAAGGTTTAAGAATGAAGAAAAGTGAATGAAAAAAGAAAAAAGAAAAAGGAGGTTATGGTTAACTTACTCTTCCACTGAATAGCTCACCCTCAAAACGGAACGTCGTTAAATTGAACGAAGAGCTCTTAAGTTGTGGAAGAGATTCCAACGTCAAGGAGCGTATATCCAACACTTCAAGGCGGTAGCTGTCCGCTTCAGCAGCAAATATCTCTTTCATACTCTTGCATTGAGTGATCTCAAGTGTTTGAATTTGTCTAAGGCTTCCCGCAATGGAAAATGAGAAGGCGTTTATCAACTTATCACACTGCTTCACCTTTATGATTTTTAAATTATAAAATGACTCTACAGTGAATAGCCCTTGAAATATTTTCTCCAAGTTAATCATGTTGTTCAGAAACAGGGACTTCAAGAGGGGGAAAGCAACTAGATGTTTCCTGCCCCTTGCATCAGAAATACATTTAAGGGATGAATTATTCTGAATGTGAAGATGCTTCAATTGTGGAAAACCCTCTTCATCTAATTGATAAAGATCATTATTGACACCCTGTAATTCCGCTAAACATAGTTCTTCAATTCCTTTCAATTGCCTGATAATCCCACACTCCAGGATGCTAGCATTGAGTTTCAATGTTCTTGAAGTCTCATACTCAGCCAACCACTCCCACTCATCACCTATGAATACTTTATGTCTTCTCAAGTTGTTCTTAGAAAAAAGATCTTTGGTTAGAATCCTGACATCTTTAATGTGTATTTCTAAAGCTGTCAATTTAGACAAATGCTTCAACTCATTAAGACTAGCATTTTTTCCTTCGAAGTTCAGCCCTTCAACTTCCCATTGAACAAAGCTATTACCCATATACAATTCTTCTAAACAAGATAAACTTGATATGACATTTGGTGAAATAACTTTTAGTTTGGAACAATTACTCACATCTAAAATCCTTAGCTGAGTCAATTGACCTATATCTTTAGGCAACAACTTAATATCACAATGGGATAATCTAAGGCTTTTTAGGTTCTTTAAGTCTCCAATACCTGTTATGTTTCCCAACATGCATTGATCTAAACACAATGTTTGAAGGTTTACTAACAGATAAAGAGATGAAGGCAGTGACAGGAAGTGCATTTTGGTCAAATTTAGAACACTGAGATTTGTCATTCCTGTGAAAAAATTGTCTGGAACTTTCATAAAAGGATTCCCAGCAAGCATAATGNTATGCCATGATTAGCACTAGACCAGACCTCTCCTTTGCAATCTCTCTTTTAAGCAGATTCATGTCAAATCCTGGTTTTGAACATTAGCTTGCTCTCAAATGGTTGCTTAGGTATATTAACAGTACATTGAATGTTGGCTTGGAATATGGAAAAAGATTTGACTCACTTGATCTTGTAGGTTTTGTAGACTCTGATTTTGCAGGTGACAAGGATTCAAGGAAGTCAACTACTGCATACTTGTTCACCTTGGGAGGAAACTGTGTAAGCTAGAAGTCTCAGCTCCAGCCAATCGTTGCCCTGTCCACCACTGAGGCAGAATATGTGGTTGTTATAGACATGTTCAAAGAAGCACTTTGGCTCCAAGGATTACTATCAGAAGTAGAGTTACTGGATGGTACAGTTACTGTCTATTCAGACAGCCAAAGTGCTATCCACTTGTGCAAGAACCCAGTGTATCACGAACGGACTAAACATGTTGAAGTTAAATACCATTTTGTGAGGGAGCTAGTGGAGAAAGGAGTGATCAGCCTGAAAAAGGTACCAACCAAAGACAACCCTACTGATATGGGAACAAAGGTGGTCACTTCAGCCAAGTTCAAGCACTGCTTGAACCTACTGCATGTCAAATGACCTGTAGCTATTGAGCTGTGATAAGCAATCTGTGATGAAACTAAACTGATAAGGTTACTTGGTTCTCTTGATTTGATGATATGTTAAAGCTTTAAGGTGGAGATTGTTGAGTGAAGCTTAAACGATGTCGTATTGTGCCTGATTGATACGTTGTCGTTTTGGTGTTAGTTCAAGTGACAAACCTCAGCCATTGGATCTAGCTTGATCTGACGACTCTAACCAGCCCAACAAGTCAAAGTATACAAAGGCAGCAAATCTGAGAAATACACAGTAACAGAAATTTTTTCTGCTCTCGCGTTTGCAACACAGTTAGGGATCTTATTTCTACTCTTAGTCAAATATTGTGATTAGGTCATAGGTTCTTGGGAATCTTGTGAGCAGAAGTTTCAGGTTGTTCTTCTAGTGTAGGCATTCAATTTCTGGTTTGCTTATTGTGATTACAGGGAGGTTTGAGAGGTTGTTGTAACAGTGTGAGAGTTGGGTCATTTGAGTTGTACTTGTAATACTTTGATCCTTATAGTGCAGTGAGTCCCAATTTGCTTGGAGCTCAACGTGGATGTAGTTTATTCCATTGGAATAAGCGAACCACGGTAAAATTTTCTGAGTTCTTGATTGTGTTCTTGATAGATTAAGTCTTGTGATTGTGTTTGTGATTGGCAATTGTTAGGTTTGAATTCTGTTTATCTCAACAATTAGGCTGAATACTTTAACATTTACAAAAGAAGATGTTATTATCCGACACCGTAAAACTTGACATAAAAGTTTTCCTCTGCTAAGTTCTCAAGACAGGTGTGTAACCTTAGATTCTAACTCTTTTTTTCTCATTTCTGTTGCTTTCGAGAACTGGCATCATTCATCTTGCAGAAACATCCAAATAAGCAATCAACTGCTTGCCTAGTGCAATATTTTCTCCAAGCATCTATACTCAAAATCTAGTAAAAGATGATGGCTCCAAAGTCCAAAGTATTTCATCCAGCATAAAAAAAAGTTGAGAGCACTAAGCAACAACTTTCGATAAATATTAACAATTGTATAAAGAAGAGTCAGACTTGAGTCTTTTCAATTAAGGATATACACATGTTAAGGATGAACTACATTATTTAAGGAGGAATTACATTCTCACCTTTATTATGGCTTAAGAACAATCATGCTCCTGTAATTTCAAAAACTACCAGATCACCCCATTTTTAAGCACCAGAATCTTTTGGGTGCCCATGAATAAGGCAGCCAGCTAGGGTCAACCACTGAGGAATTGTGGGAAACCTTCGTACCATTCAACCTCAAATTATCAAATGATGAAGAAAATAAAAATACTGCATCTAAAACCTCTCATAGGATAGGAGCAATGCCACTATGAAGGAAATCTAAAGTAGAGCAATGAAGATATAGAAACAAAAGGGTTTCCACCATCTAACTTGATCAGAAGAACACGAACCATAATGCATGTCTCACAAACTGCATAGAAGATGACCTCATTCTTCTTTAGAACTTGGCAATCTGTCCCCAGAGCATACATATTTAAGTTGATTGCAGGAACTAATTACAGAGAATTTAAACTACATTTTATAAAAGTTCAAAGTAGTAAACTTAATTTATCTGCAGCTTAGAGGTTCTGCCGTGTAGTTGTGGACCTTTTGGTTTATTTGGAAGCTCACATGGCAGATGGGAAACAGAAATGGTAACTGGTACATATGATTGACAATATATCTATACTAGGGTAACTGTGAAAAGAGATGTTTGTTTTATTTACTTCAAATAAGCTTTGGTGGGAAAGGAATGAAAAATATTAGAGGCGAATAGCAATTTAGGGAATGCATTAATACATACCATTCCTGTAAATTGTTGTAAGTGGATATTTTCTTTTTTAGTTCTCTATATGGTTATATTAAGGTAGCCAACAATATCAACTGCACTATTGTAGCTTTTATGGGATTAGATTCCTGAGTAATGATTTTTGTTAGATATGATGAGGATTTTGCTAAGCATCTAGCAAAGGCACTACTAAAGCTTAATTCTTAATTAATTGTGAATGAATAAAAAAAATCCACAAAAATATATGAAATAACAAGAGAGTTCTCTCTCACAACCGTTACATACCACTTTTTTATACAACTTTTGTATGGTTGTATTAAGATCACCGTCCCACACACCATTCATCAGCTGCCCGCTCTTTTGTACTTCTTGTAAGTTTGGTATGCTTAAGACTCCTCTCGAAAAAACATTCACACTGGGGCATTCTATAACAATAACTCTTCCAAAGATGGGAATTTCAAAGTATAATTCCCAGAGCAAAAACTTGTAAGACTTTCTAATCAAAAAGTGTTAAGCTCTCCAATCTGCAAAAGCTAATCTGGGGGTCTGTTACATTGCCCTCATTTGCTACTACTTCTGTCATCATTTCACATCCACCAATCTTCAATTCTTTGAGTTGCAGCAGGGTTTGGCTGTTGAGATGCACTAGTTCTTCAATCTTTTGCAAAACCACACTTCCAAAAATGTTAGATTGTGGAAAGATGCAGAGGATGGCACTAATTAATCAAATTGTTGCACCACCACACTCAAAGACTTTCAAGATTTTGAAGAATGGTGCCCAGTTTTGATTGTTGTTTCCATATGTTTTTAGATTAGATCAAACACCTTCAAAACTTTATATCTGTGTCACATCCTGGCATGTCTTTCCATCTCTTCATGTGAGAATATCTCTTTGCATAACCGTGACTTAGAATGAGCTTTTCCAGATTGTGAAATCTTTGAAAGAAATGAAGCGGAAAAACATCTGAATCATCTTTCAATGTGAAGAACTTCAAGTCTGCGAAGGAGGTTTTCTGGAAATGCGCCCTGCCATATCATTTCAACGACCTTCCCGCCTAATTTCAGTTCCTCCAAATTAGGAAACCTTGGTACCAATAAACAAGAGTAAATTGAGTTAATCTTCGTCTTGAAATCTATAATATAGGCGTATAAAAAAATGATTTCAAGCTGTCATAATTATACTTACTTAATGAATGATATTAATAGTTTTAGCTGATTAAACTTTGGCATTTAAAATGATAAATCATTTTATTAA